TTTTTAAGAACATGATCAACGGTTTTCCAAAGTGACTGTGAGTATTTATCTGTTTCGGTTTTGGTTTTGGTCATGGGGCTTGAACTCAGGGCCTGAGCACTGTCTCTGAGCTTTTTCACTTAAGGCCAGCGCTCTACCACTTGGAGCCACAGCACCCCTTTCAATTTTCTGGTTGTTCACTGGAGATAAGAGTCTCACAGACTTTCCTGCCTGGGCTGGCTTCAAACCACAGTCCTCAGATCTCAGCCTCCTAAATAGCTAGGATGACAGGCGTGAGCTACCAGTGCTCAGCGGTATTTTATCTCTTACACTCTCATTTATGCTGTTTGTTTCTTAGTGGCTGGGTAGTGGTATCTCACTGTGACTTTTATTGCATTTCCCTAAGACTAATGATGCTAAGAAGCTATTCAAATACTTAGACATTTGTGTGTCTCCTTTGGTAAAATAGCTATTCAAATTAGTTGCCCTTTAAAAAAAAAAAAGAGAACCAACATGAAGTGTTGTAAAGTTTTTGTTCGTCTTTGTCCTTACCAAATTTCTGTCTAGTTGTTTTTCTCAGTTATCGGTGGGATATTGATCTCACTCGTTAGTTGGTGCCAAGTTGTCTATTTCTTCCTTCATTTTGCCAGTCTTTGCTTTCTGTGTTTTGGAGCTGGGTCATTAGGTGGATGTGGCTTAGTGTACACCTGCCGTTCTGTGATTGACTTCATGCCTCAGGTCTCCTGTTCCTCCACTCATTTTTTCTTTTGGACCCTCCCCTTCCCTGTTTTGTGTTAAATGTTTTTTGGTGCTTCATTCTTTGTTTCCTTCTGCCTTAAATTATTAGTGACTACAGGTAAGGTATGGGTCTTAAGTTCTCAAAAATCAACTTCAGATCAGGACTGGCTGAATGTCTATAGATACAGAAACTCTCTCCAGCTCCGCGTCCTGCCCTCCTTTGTATATTCCATCTGCACATGCAATGGTTGCAGTGTGTATGCAATCACATACCTTTAAAAAAAAAAGCTAAAAAGGAGGGGGGGGAAACCCTAACATTTATACGGCTTCCATAGAGACAGATGAGTCCCTGTCAGTGCTGAAGGGATTCTTTTGTAGTCTTTTGCAGGAAGGGCTGATGGTGAGCGCTTCGTCTTTCTTTTCGACCGCCATCATCCCCTCGCCTTCATTTTCAAATGATGGTTTTGTTGTTGGATATATATGGCTTGGTTGATTGGCAGGGCTCGGGTTGGTGGGTGGGTACATGTTTCTACCAATTCCTGGCCCACATGGCTTCTCATAAAATGTCTGCTGTCACTCTTCTTGAGGATTCCTGGTTCTGGCTATGTAGAATTACCCTGCTGACCTGTGGGGGGAAGGAAGGGATTCAGAACTTGCTCCTGATCCTCAGTCTGTTGCATGCTTTTAGTTGATTTCCAGCATCTTTTTTTTTTTTAACAGTTGCTTTTGGACAGTTTGCTCCAGTCCTATCATGATTTCTTGAAAGGGGGATTTGCCAGGCTTTTCCTACTGTGCCACGGCACCATGTTTTCCTTTCACCACCTCCTGGAAAGGAGAACTTGTATGACGGTTTAACAGTGTGGACTAAGCCTGGCGCCAGTGGCTCACGTCTGTCATCCTAGCTACTCAGGAGGCTGAGATCCGAGGATCACAGTTCAAAGCCAGCCCAGGCAGGAATGTCTATGAGACTATCTCCAATGAACCATCAGAAAACTGGAAGTAGAGCTGTGGCTGAAGTGGTAGAGCGCTCACCTTGAGCTGAAGCGCTGAGGGACGGCACCCAGGCCCAGGGTGGACTTTGACTCCGAGTTTCTGGATTTGAATCCTATCCCTGCCTTTGGCTGGCTGCAAGATCGTGGGCAAATAAGTAGACTTTGAACAAATGATTTAAAACCTCTAGGCCTCTGCTGCCTCCTGTGTAGCTTGGACCGTGACAAGCATCTCTCCCTAAGGTCGGGGTTCTGAAGGTGAAGTGGGCTAAAGTGGGCAGGAAACATGACCCGCACAGGGCACTGTAAATGCTGAATTCACAGCGCTTTCTGCTGACTCCGCCAGGGTAGAGGCCATATCTTCTCAAACATCAGAACCCCTGCCTCCCATCCGTGACCCGGCACCTGTGCACACAGCCAGTTTGTCTTCTTCCCCCCCTGCTCATCTTTGCTAAGTGACCTTGACCTTCAGGAGGATGCTGGCAGCAGTCAGAGGGCCTGTGGGTACAGGGAGAAGAAGTGGGGGCTCCAGCAGCAGGTGGTGATGATGGTGCCTGGGTCGAGGAGAAAGGCCATTAACGTCCCCCTGTTTCCGGCTCTCCCAGCAACTGCCTACAAGGCCACAAGCCACCCACAGGCCACGTTGGATAGAGAGCAGATCTGCACAGTTGCATTTTCAAGCCGTTAACGAACACAGTCACGGCTCTCGCAGATATTCCCTGGCAGCCAAATCCTCCACTTCCCCGGAGCATGCCTGTCTCACATGCTGAGGGAGGGAGAGAGGGCCATCGGATGGAATGTTGACTCCTTGGAAGGCTGGGGAATGAGAAAGATCTGGGCCAGTGTAGCAAAATACAAGTAGAGGCGGGTGCACACGAGAGGCCAGATGGGCAGAGTAAGTGTGGATCACGGCAGTGACGAGTGAGAAGAAAGTCTTCAGTGACCAGGACAGTCAGGGTAGGAGAAGTATCTGTGCCAAGGAGAGGCAGCCCTTTGCCCGCACAGCCATTCCCCCTTCTTCCGCGAGGGCTTCTCTCCTCCAGCTAACACAGGAAGCGGCTTCATCATCGTGTTCGATACCCATGTCATTTCTTCTTTGTTCAGTGACAGAAAATATTTTTGTTGTTGTTGTTGGTGGTGGTGGTGGTGGTGGTCATGGGGCTTGAACTTAGGGCCTCGGCGCTGTCCCTGGGCTCTTTTTGCTCAAGGCAAGCACTCTACCATGTGAGCTGCAGCACTACATTCTGTTTTCTGGTGGTTCACTGGAGATAAGAGTCTCACGGGCTTTTCTGCCCCGGCTGGCTTTGAACCATGATCTTCAGATCTCAGCCTCCTGAATCGCTAGGATGATAGACATGAGCCACTAGCACAGGCAGCCTTTTGGTCTGTATGTGGGCATGTGTTGGTATAGCTTGATCTTGTGCATCCAAGAAATGGTAAAACCTGGCTAATTTACTTTGGAGGGAGCGTCTGCCTTTCTCCTACCCAGGGCAGGCAGTGCTGGATGGAAAATCAGGGGATTTTTCTGTCACTTACATACAATGTGCTTCTTCACTCCTGACCGGTGTTCCTTCCAGCACACCTCAGGGAACCCGCTAGGCCAACAGCAGCACTTGGGCAGTGATGGCTGGCTGGCTGGCGGTCTTGTACTTGCCCCACAGTGTGTTTCTGGTGCAGCTGAGGGCATTTTGTACCTGAGATATATGGAAATAATAATGGCAGGCCAGCTGGCCGGGTGAGATCCACATGCCGGTGTGTACAGGCCGAGGAAGCATCTCGTGGTGTGTGGTGGGGGGGGGGGGCTGTTTCCCTTCACAGTCTTGACACCAAAATTAGACTTCTGTATGCTTCTGGCAGCTTTTTCGTATTTTTTTTTAATGCTGCATTACGGAGTGTTGCTTGTTCTGACCTGTTTATCTTTACACCTGCATGGACAAGCCTCAGTGATCATATTGTGCTCTTGGCAGCTTGTGTGTGAAGTTCAGCATCCAAAAGAGGGGTGCAGCGTGCTATGGTGTTCAGGATTAATTCGTTCTTGAGGAATTGATAGATCATGATTTGGGAACCCAGCTCCATACAGGAAATTTGTAAGCAGCTGGCTCCTGTGAAATTACGCATAGAATTTGAAGGTCAAGGGGGTAAAAAAAAAATTAACATCTTAACCCCATGACTCCAGCATGGCCATCGAGTTAAGAGGTAGAGGTGTGAGGTTCTTAATAAGAAAGTAGAAAGGGAAACACAGTTCAACCTGGATTTCAGGGGACCTTGGGGGGGATAAAGAAAGTCACCGTAATAAGCAGAGTTTTGATTTAAAGCATCATCTCAACCTTAAGCTGACACTCTTGAAAGTAGACGTACTTTTTTTTTTTTCCCATGAGGGATACTTTGGTTTTCTTTAAAAAAAATTTCCAGGGTCAGCAATTGATCTCACACACACACACACACACACACACATGCACACGCCTAGTGTCCACCTGGCCCCTCTGCCTTGGCAGGGGGCGAGCTGGAGATCTGAGCCCTCCATGTGGTTTCCTCATTCTGCCACCTGTAGTTTTTCCTACCAGGGGGCTCCTCAAAATCTGCCCTCCCCTCGCCTCGCAGCCAGACCGCTCCGGTGGGAGCCTCACTCGGCTTGAGGTCTGCTCCAGCTGTCTCCTCGGCCTGAGCTGCTCTTCCCTGCGGGATGAGAGTCAGCCTCCCCTGCCGCGCTCCGGGGACAGGGACAAGTGTCTCGCTGTCATAGGCCCCCCACCGGGGAACCTGCAGATGAGAGAGGGGAGTGGCGTCATCTCTAGGAAGTGGCAGCTTCTCTAGGAAGCCTGCAGTAGCACCTCTTCCCTGTCCCTGTCCCTGTCCCCGAGGCAGCTGTGTGGAGGTTGAATCCCCAGGCAGGGCTTCACCTGACTTCCTGCCGGGTGACTCACCCACCTCTCCCTCCTTCCTCATCGTTGTCTTGGGTTTTGCAGGGCAAACAGCAGCTGCTCAGTAAATATTTGTTAGATAGAAAGCAGACAAGAATATGGAGGTGGGGAAAATATTCCACTGTCGGGGGGGAGTGAGGGAGGGTCCTTGGCAGGTCTCTGGTATGTGTGCTTACCTGGTGTAGAAATTTCCAGAAGGAGGCGGAGCTTGAGACCATCTTCTCTTAGCACCGTCATCCACTTTGCAGCTTGGGTTTTGGCTGGATCTTCATTAGTGTTCTCAGGTAGATTCTAGGCGGTCACAGCCTTGATCCAGACAGCCCGTACTTTGGGGGAGTTAGGACCTTGTATGGGATTTTGTGAGTAAAGGCGTATGGGGGCGGGGGTAAGGATAAGATGGAAGCACTTGGAATTGTGCACCAGGGTGCCAGGCTTATTTATTGAGATGTGTGTGCTAGGGTGTGGGGTCTCCTTAACTTTTTGCCCGGGCTGTCCTTGAACCAACCATCCATCCATCTATTTCCTGAGTAGCTGGGATCACAGGTGTATGCCACCATGCCCAGTGGTTTTTGACAACATATACATTCATTGTTATCCTCGTTGAGTAGTGGTATGAGGGGTTCAACACCCTCCTGTCCGTACAGGGGGCTCGGTGCTTCTCGGTGTCCTGGGTGAGGGGAGGGAGGGCTGGAGGGGGCAGTCTCGGGGTACACCCCTCAGTGCTGGGGGCCTTGACTTTCTCTCTCCACCCCTCAGGTGAGCGTGCTGACCACCCTGGAGCGCAGGTTCAACCTGCAGAGCGCGGACGTGGGCGTGATCGCCAGCAGCTTCGAGATCGGGAACCTGGCGCTGATCCTGTTCGTGAGCTACTTCGGGGCGCGGGGTCACCGGCCGCGCCTCATCGGCTGCGGCGGCATCGTGATGGCACTGGGCGCCCTGCTCTCGGCGCTACCAGAGTTTCTCACTCACCAGTACAAGTACGAGGCAGGCGAGCTGCGCTGGGGCGCCGAGGGCCGCGACGTGTGCGCCCCCAACGCCTCCAGGGGACCCCCCGGGCCCGCCCCGGACCTCATCTGCCGCAACCGGACGGCCACCAACATGATGTACCTGCTGCTCATCGGGGCGCAGGTGCTGCTGGGCATCGGTGCTACCCCTGTGCAGCCCCTGGGCGTGTCCTACATCGACGACCACGTGCGCAGGAAGGACTCCTCGCTCTACATAGGTACGGGGAGCCTGGCGGGGAGGGGAGGGGAGCCTGGGCTGGGGCCGTGTGCAATTCGCACATGCCCAGGTGCCAAGGGGAAAAGCATCTGGAGGATTCCAGGAAACACTGCCACACACCTGTGCTGGGTGTGGGGGTGTGGTGGACCCAGGGGGCAAACAAGATTGCCCCCTCAGAAAAAAAAATCTCCCCAGTGTGTTCTCCTGGTGGTCAAAACTTGAAGCTCAGTGCGCGCCGGTCCGAACGGCCCTTGTCTGGGCAGTTTCTGGTGTGAGGTGTGCCTGGAGTTTTTAGGCACCAGGATAGATTTGGGGGGGTGGGGTCTACACAGCAGAGGGGAAAACAATCTGAAATAGTCCTCTGGCCACTGTGCTTCCCGAGGCCAGGAGAGCTGATGGTAAGGACTATACACTTGTAGGGCAGCATTTTGGTGGCTCATTCCCAACCTGTAACTCCCGATAATGTTTGAGTGAGGAAGGAAAGGGCAACCCATGGAGGAAGAAATGAAGTCTGTGTGCAGGTGTAAAATAGTACTCTGGCACCCTTGCCCTCTGTGATACGTTATACTGGGAAGATAAGCGCATAAGGTTGCTGTGTGTGGACTCCATGGCTGGCCTTCCTCCAGTGAGGGCCGGCCCACCCGGCATTTGCAGCACGGATGTGGTAATGATGCTTCTGCTCCCTGTCGCTGTTGGGTTGCTCTAATGCTGAGCACTGAGCCCTGAAATAAAAAAGTCACCCACCGCTGGGGAAGGTCTGTATCTCCCTTAAAAAAGAGTGCCTTGAGGTAGAAGTTAATTATAACACACAGGTTTAAGATTAAATAGAATTTGAATCACAAGTGACATGAGTTTTCTGCACCATGTTGGAGCAGGAATAGCAAAGAGCTGGTCTTGCTCTTGTCTTCCTGTGGAGTTGATTGCTTTTTGCTTTTCTTTTTGTGCCAGGATTGGGGCTTGAACTCAGGGCCTGGGTGTGCTGTTTTTGTGTGCAAGGTTGGAACTCTTACTGCTTACACCACAGCTCCACCTCCAGCTTTCTGTGGTTCATTGGAGAGAAGAGCCTTACAGACTTTCCTACTGGAGCTGATGCTCAGAGCTCAGCCTCGTGAGGAGTAGCTAGGATTACAGGTGTGAGCCGCTGGTGCTGGGCTTGGTGCTGGGCTTAGAGTTGACTTCTTTGCTGACGATGTTGTTTCAGCTCTCTGTGACAGCAGGCCATGGATGACAAGATGAAGAGAATGTGGATCTTCATCTCACTGAACCCCACCTATGGACCAAAGGCAAAAATGCCCGGTCCCTCCCCCTAAAAGTTAGGGGCTCCTATTGTGTCTCAGGGTGACCGATGGAGTTAAGGGGATCATTTGCCTTTGTTGCTGTTAAAACGTCAATGAGAGTCAAGACCGTGTGAGTGTGTCACAGACCAGGCCATGGGCTATGGCCTACCACGAAAAACAGTCTTGCATGTGCAGCCAGACAATTGGCCTGTGGCGCTGAGAGATGTCCCCTAGACCTGTGGCAGGCTGATAAATCAGAGCTCAGGGAAGGAACTGAGGGCTGAATCCCTGACCTCTTGTCTTGTCTCTGATACTAGAAACAAATCAAAAGGAAATCTCTCTCCACAATGGAGGCTACGTCACCAGGGCTTGGGGAAGACTTCCGTTGGCAGTCTTCTTCTAGAAGATTCCCTGATGAATTGGGCTGTGGTGTTTTCCCGATCAGGTGGGGCTTGGTTTGTGTATGCAAAGCCTCAGCCGTCCGAGGCCCGGCAGCTCCTGAATTCTCTCTGATCTTCTTGAATTCCAAGTTCTGCCTGGCCCTGTAGATACCTGCGCAGCTCTGGTCTTGATGTAGTCCTGCACACGGCCGTCCTGAGTCCCTCCATAATCGTTTCGGAGAACAGAGCAATCCTTCCGCACAGATTGGCCTCTCTAGGTGGCTTTTTAATTCTATGACTGGTTAGAATTCTCCTGGAAAACTTTTTTGTTGTTTTGTTTTTCCTAAAAAGACCATAGCATGTACAGAGAAAACTGGGCTCCTGCATTTCTTACAGGGCTATGAAAGCCAGTGATGATGGAGTGAACGTTTGGGCCTCATTGGACGCCAATTCCGGAAGCCACTTAACTTGGCTTCGGGCAGTACTTGGGGACTTACGCTGGGGACGGAGGGTGAGCACTAGGGCAAGGAGTGAGGCACCACAACCACCATTACCACCACCACCCATTCCAGCTCCTTCCAAATTGGGTCCCCAGGCTGCTGTGTGAGGCTGAATGAGCAGTGGAAAGAGGGCGGATCTCAGGCTTGTCATCCGCATGTGACCTTTGCTGTGTTGGCCAGCGGGGAGAAGAATTGGCCATGCAGGCCTTTCAGAGGCAAGCTGGGAGTTCCTGTGAGGCGGCTCTTTCTTTGTGGCCCAGTCCTGGGCACGCTCCTGGATTGCCCATGAGGGGAGGGGGGCCTCTCTGGCTGCCCCCAGTGTGAAGAGGGAACTCATTGACAAGTGACAACACTGGCTGAACGGGGGACCGGGCCGTGCTGGCAGGCGGCTCAGCACCGCGCTGCGAGAGCTCGGCCTCCCGGGGTGGCCGGATAATGACCCGGGGTGGCGCGTGGCACTTTTGTTCCCAGAGGGACGGAATGAACCCCGTGGTGGCAGAATCCATTGGGTCCCCTGCTGAGGTCCAAGAATGGGCTGTTTGGGAGTCCGGTCACGTCTCCAGCCCTCGTGTTGTGACTTCGCATCAGCCCCCGTTTTCTTAGTTGTCTTTTGTTTGTCCAAGTGCAAACTACAGCTTTCTCCCCCCCACCTCCCCTTCCCAAAGTCTGAGTGTGTGTGTTGCGGCGGGGGGGGGAGGGGGGAGATTCTGTCATAGACTTACTTCACTGTGTTCTTTGAATAGCCACATCCCTTGGTTCTGGCCTTTTTCTTTTTGTTGTTGTTGTTTTTTGAAAGAAGAGGTGGCAACGATGTTTCAAATAATGTCATTCCTTGTCAAAAAGTATTATACATTTATTATTGACAATTTTACTTTATTTATTTTATTTATTTATTTTTGGTCTGTCTTGGGGCCTGGGTGCTGTCCCTGAGCTCTTTCACTCAAAGCTAGTCCTCTACCCACTTTGAGCCACAGAGCCACTTCTGGTTTTCTGGTGGGTCATTAGAGATAAGAGTCTCACAGACTTTCTTCTCCCAGCCCTCACCCCAAATGCCTTCAAACCGAGATCCTCAGCTCTCAGCCTCCTGAGTAGTTAGGATGACAGGTGTACAGGATTACAGTAGTTAGGATTCCTGGTGCCCAGCTGAGGAGAACGTCTTGGTGAGGTTGCTAGCCGGGAGTTAGACATCTGGCAGTGCACTTGATTACCTGGTGCACAGGACAGTTGCTCCAAGCTGAGTGGCAGATGCATTATCCACAGACGTGTCGTGTTTACTTTGTCATTTATACTGAAGCCTGGAGCAGCCCTTCGTGTTCCAGATAATGATGAAAGAAAAAAAAAAGAATTATTTTCACATTTCAGCCATCAAGTGTTTGTTTCCGAGCAAAGGTCGTAAGAAAAGCAGTCAAGCAACCAAAGAGAACCACATTTCTCTTCAGATCCCTGAGAGCAAAAAGTGCTCTGGCTACTGATGAGTGTTTTTTAAATATATTATTACTTGAACTTGACGTTGGGTAAAAATGTGGTTGTTGTTAACACTCCAAAGAGTTGACGGGTATGGAGCGATTGCATGGTGACAGTAGTCCTTTGGGAAACAGAAAATGAAAAGGCCGTTCCTCCTGAGAGCCAGCAGAGCTCATTAAATTCCTGCACTGTCAGTGATGTTAAAGACGCCGGAGGGCCGAGCTCCAGGCCCTGATCCCGGCTGCCGGGTGCGTGCCAGGTCGGTGTGGTCCCAGTGTGAGCCGGCACCGCCCTGGGAACCTTGCCCTTGGCTCCCATTGGGCTTTTCCACGTTGCCTGGGCTCGTAGCTGCTCCCATCCCCCGGCAGCTGCTCATCACTCACGTCCTGTGGTTCACAGAGTCCATGCAGGGCTCCCTGTCTGTGACCTTGGCCGCTTCACCTTGAGCCCTGGAGCCCAGTATTTTCAAGAGTTGAATCCTCAGCCCTCTCATAGACCCTGGTGTATCACATGAGTTGCCAGTCATCTGGAGTTCATTGTCAGTGAAATGAGGCTGGGCTTCCTCTTATACATCCCTAAGCATTAAGCAGTGCATACATGACCCTTAAGCATTGAATGTTGGGTCCATGATCCCTAAGTCCTGAGTCGTGTGTCCTCGGTCCCTGAGCATGGAGCAGTGTGCTGTCAGTATTATATATATGGTCCCTAAGCACTGGATAGTAGTGTGTGTACATATATGTATATACACACACACATACATATATATCTACACACACATACATACTCCAGTCCTGGGGCTTGAACTCAGGGCCTGGGCACTGTCCCTAAGCTTCTTCTACTCAAGACTAGCACTCTACCACTTGAGCCACAGCACCACTTCTGGCTTTTTCTGTTTATGTGGCACTGAGGAATCAAACCCAGGCCTTCATGTGTGCTAGGCAAGCACTCTACCACTAGACCACATTCCCCACCCTGTAGATAACTGAATTTTTTGGTGTAATTTTGAATTAAAGTTTTTTTTTTGTTTTGATTTGTTTTTTTGTCGGTCATGGGGCTTGAACTCAGGATCTGGGGAGCTGTCCCTGAGTTTCTTTGTGCTCAAGGTTAGTACTCTACCAATTGAGCCACAGCTCCGCTTCCAAACCTGTATTTTTAAAAGTCAGTTTTCACCTTTTCAAAAGGTTAAGTATCCTTTATCTGAAGTGCTCAGAGCTAAAGTATCTCAGATTTCAGTCTTTCAAATATTTGAAATATATTTGCAATGAGCATTACTAATCTGGAAAAAGAAATCCAAAACCTAGAACATTCCAAAACCTACAGCTTTTTGAGCAACAACATGATGCTTAAAAAGTTGGCTCACACCTGTAATCCTAGCCACTC